ACTTAATTGAAAGACTGTTACACTCTCCACTCTTTGCTAGGCGCTGTGGCAAGATGCTGAGTAACACATAGTTATTGCTGTCAAGATGCCAGCCGACCTTGGGTGATACACCACTTTGAGTTCAACTAATGTTTGATGGAGGAAATAAATACGGATAAAACAGTTTGGAAGAGTAGATAGCTTTGTACTCACAGAGACCTGGGTTCAAGTTGTGTAAACTTAGATAATTTCCGTAACTGAAAAATGGAAAAAAATAATATGTACCTTGCAGGGCTTCTAGGATGATTAGCATATATGTAAAATATAGGTCCTACATAAAATACGTATTCCCAAATGCTTGTGACGTTACTCATGAATGAAGAGCTAATGTGCCAGCAAAGCTTATACCTTGCATCCTTGCATTAATATTTTAGTACATTTTCCATGTGTGTTTACCTCTTTCATTTTTCTCCGGCTTTCTAATGTAGGCAGGGCAGGGATGATTCTCACATGGAACAAAAGAACAAGACACTGAATCCATAAAAGAAGAGGGTGGCAGCAAACTGACACAAGAACAGAAAATCAAACACTGCCTGTCCTCACTCATAGGTGGGTGTTGAACAATGAGAACACACGGACACAGGGAGGGGAGCATCACACACTGAGGTCTGGGGCTGTGGGGGGAACTAGGGGAGGGACAGCAGGGGGTGGGGAGTTGGGGAGGGATAACATGGGGAGAAATGTCAAATATAGGTGATGGGGAGGAAGGCAGCAAACCACATTGCCATGTATGTACCTATGCAACAATCCTGCATGTTCTTCACATGTACCCCAAAACCTAAAACACAATAAAATACATTTTTAAAAAAGAGTGGTAATGGAGCTAGACAGCCCCCCCCAGATTTCCTGTCTCACAGAGCCCTGTATGTCCCACCACAGCCATGCCATTCACCCGATTAAGAAAGCCCCTCAAGGAAAAAGGGTGGTCTGCTCACAATTACGGCTTAAACATGACTCATCTTCCTTAAGAGTAAATTTTACCCAAAAATTTTGGGAACGATATATCTTTAAAATATTGCAACAACACAGCTTCGTTTTAAAGAATGCAAAACTGAATTATAGCAATAAATACTTACCTGCATTGGTCTCTGTTCTAATCATTTAAAAATTCAGTATTTCATTTAACTCTTACAACTTTCCCAAGTAGATTTTATCAGTGTCCTCATTCTACACATTCAGAAACCAAGAAATAAAAGCAGTTAAAAGACCTGCACAAAGCTACAGTTAGTGGCAGAGCTGGGATTTGAACCAAGGAGATTTGGTTCTAGAGGTTCCAATTTTTAATCACTTTGTTATAAATATTTAGACAATTTATTATGAATATTTTAATGAACGTAGGGTACCAGGGCTACAGTTATTTTATTCTGCTATCATTGTGGGCATAGGTAAGGGGAAGATTTTGAGGAGAATTTCAGAAGCACTGTGCTACACAGGCTGTTTACAGAAATGATTTTTAAGGATCAATGGTGTGTGTGTGTGTGTGTGCGTGTGTGTGTGTGTGTGTGTGTGTGTGTGGAGAGAAAGAGAGAGAACACAAGACAGCAAGAGAGCAAGCATTTCACAGTGTGTGCAATTTTAGCTTAATTAGAATAGGAAGACTATTAACAAGTTATTTTTAAATGCACCAAAGATCAGGAGGTAAGTTAGAATTAAATTACACCGTGTGAGGCTGATTGGCAGCCCAGGTAATGTGGGTAAGTTCACAATCTCGTCTTTATCAGCACAGTTTGCAAAGTAGGCCTGAAAGGCATGGCCCCAAACCCAGAGTGTGGAGCTATAATTATTCAGGTAAAAAAAAGAAACTAATTGGAAATGTGATAAGCAATGATGAGCTAGCCTATTTGAGGAGGAAAATGAACAAAACGAGCAGATGCCAACTGTTGTGGCTTCAGTGGAAAAGGACAGATACACTTGTTTAAATGAAAAGTTCCCTGTCACCTGAAGACAGAATTTTCCTTAGGACAGGACCATTAGTGTGTCATTTGCATAAAGAGCTTAAAATAAAAACAGCCACCGCAAATAGGAACTCCTGGGCACAAAAACAGACTGCATTCAAAGGATGCTGACTGGTGCAAAGGACTGAGTCCGTGCTGAGGGCACTTGGAGACTAATTGCCAGTTGGGAATGTTCCTGACCTTGCAGTAGCAAGAACTAAAATAACCCCAGCAAAACAGAGCGTGGAAGAAGGGAGAGGGGTTAGAAGACCTTGGCTCCTGTTTTGGCTGAAGCTCTTGGGCTGGAGCCCAGAGTCCATGTGCATTTGAGGAATAACTTTTCCTCCCTGGGCTCCCTCGTGGCTAACTCCCTCCTCTCCAATGCTAACTGCATCTGCCTCCTCCTTATTCTGGACTGGTGAATCAGACCCTTGAGGTCTCCAGAGGCTCCACGTTGTTACCCCCTCAACCCAGCTTTATCTTGCGTTCAAGGTGGCAGTCTGTGCTCTGCAGTCCAGCTGTTTCAGCTCAAATTCTCATGCTAACGATTGTGGCCCTTAGCAAGACCTTGCTCTCTGCCTCAGTTTCCTCCTCTATAAGATAGGGGTAAGATACTTCACAGGGTTGTTGAGGGCCTTCAAGCAGATAAAAAAGGTAAAAGTATAGTGCTTGGCCTTTACCAAGTGCTCAATAAATGTTAGCAATTAATATGAATTTTCCCCCTTGGGTAGAGCTCCCTAATTTCAGTCATTTGCATTCACACCTCCTGTAGTTGCCATGAATAAGTATCATTTACTTAATGTATTTTAAAAATCAATTCAAATTTTTAATCTCAGCCATATTTCAAGCAACATTATTTGTGAAAGCCCAGGCTTACCTACTGTGATAATGAATTTTTCTAATACATGTTAATGATCCACTAAAATAAAGGTGGATCTATTTTTATAAAGGTGGCACAATCTTAAATCATCTCAGATACAAGTACACATTTCACACATTAGGAAACGCAGTCTACACACATTCACTCATCTTCCATTGTTCTCTCAGCAAGCATCTAGACAACACTTATCATGTGAATGCAGAGGAAGTCAGGCAATCCATGTGGAAAAGCATCCTTCCTGCCTCCACTGAGCAGAGACCCAGAGAGCGATGACAACAGGGATGCAGCAGCAGGGCTCTTCTTCATGGGGTTGCCATTTGGTCTTGCTTGGGCTGGTCGATCCCTCAGGAAACAGCAGGAAATAAAGAACCAAGCATGTCAGGTTTTCCAAATTCCAGTTCCAAGACAACTTGGCCTTGCCTCTAGACTCTACCTGCTGAGACCTGAGCTTCTCATTTGAGCTCTCTGACCACACGATTCCTCGTCTGTTAAATGGGCATACTATGTACTTCACCAAGCTAGTGGTGGATCCGATCCAATGACACAGCGAGTACTCGGTGAGTGAGCGTTCTCAGATTATCAGTGCTCACACAGGACACGCACTTTCCTGTCCTGCAGACCTGGGGAATGTGCCCATTCTCCTCTGCTGTAAATGTTCTCTAGGTTTTACCTAAAAATCGGCGTCTTTGCCCAAGCAGTCCTTGGCATACTAAACCAACTTAACATAGGCCAGTGTGTAGTGAAGGCTTTCCAAAAAGTTCAAGAGCCATCTTCAAAAGCCTAGTGTGTCTTCTTGCCACATTGTATCTTGTATAGGATGAGGCTTGTAAAATCTCATTTTATACATGATGAAACCGAGGCATGGAGAGGTTAAGTAATTCTCGGAGATCACAAAGCTGCTAAATGGAGGAGCAAGTGACCTCTACAGCTAGTCACGACTAAAATTGCTACTAGTAAAGACAAGACTGTAACTAACGCCCACAGTAGGACCACATCATCTAGCTCAGTAATTATCCACTGAGAGGGACTTTGTCTTTCAGGGGACATTTGGCAAGATCGGGAAAAATTTTTGGTTGTCACAGCTGTGGGGTGGGTGCTACTGGCATCTAGTGGGTGGAGGCCGGGGATGTTCTAAACACCCCGCAGTCCACAGGACGGCTTCCCTCCTCCCAACACACAATCATCCAATGCAAAAATAAGTCAGCAGTGCTCAGGTTGAAATACCCTGGTGCAGGCACTATGACATTACCTATTTGGAGCTCAGCTGATAACAGAGAAAAGCCACAGAATCTCTCAGATTCCAAAACACGTAGCATGAAGTTCACGCAGAAAATCTCATGCCCTTTGTCACAAGGAATGACCTGGAGCCAATTTCCTGAGGCATATTCGTCTCACCATTCAGGTTATTCGATTAAAAGCACCAAATGGATGTGGTATCTGGGCAGAAAAGGGAAGCATGGAATATGACAAGAGTCAAGAAGAAAGCCAACAGCTTGCTACCATGAGAAATGGAGAAAACAGAAGCAGCATTGGCTGTGAAAATCCCTGCAAGAAACAGCCATGTGGATAGAGACAGCGCCTGAGACTGTGGGGAGAGGTCTTCTGGACATTCGGAGGGACATTATGCCACAATGCCAGCATGGCGAACAGGGCATGAGCGGCATCCGCTTCATCTCATATTACTGAGCTTCTGTGACTCTTGTTTTTTGAGATGGAGTCTCACTCTGTCTCCCAGGCTGGAGTGCAGTGGCGCGATCTCAGCTGACTGCAACCTTCGGCTCCTGGGTTCAAGCGATTCCCCTGCCTCGGCCTCCCAAGTAGTCGGGACTATAGGTGCACGCCACCACGCCCAGCGAATTTTTTTTTTTTTTGTATATTTAGTAGAGATGGGGTTTCTCCATGTTAGACAGGATGGTCTCGATCTCTTGACCTTGTGATCCACTCGCCTTGGCCTCCCAAAGTGCTGGGATTATAGAGGTGAGCCAGCGTGCCTGGCCTTCTGTGACTTTTTTTTAAGGAGTGTGAGACTGTCAGTTGAGGAAGACGGTAAGTATGAAAAAGTTGGAGATGATTTATCTGGTCATGTTTTCTACATAAGTTGCAAAATAACCAAATGAGGCAAATGGAATGGGAACAGGAGGCACGACGCTCACCTGAGTATTTTGCTTTATTCGCTCTAATAAACATTTTATTCATATAAAAGACAAACAATGCATAGAACGAAAATAAGTGCTTGAGAATTTTGATATAAAAAGAGTATATAACATTCACATTCCTATTTTAATACATGAGTACAGCTGAAGTGTTCCATAAAAGAATAAAACTTCCTTTTTATGTATAGTAGTGAAAAAAGTCAGTATTTTTAGGAACTACAGAATGTTATTCCTTGGTCTTTTTTCTTGAATAAGAAAAAAAACATAAATAAAACACGCCACAGTATCGTCTGACACTACATTCCAGTTTATGCTGATGATAACCCAGAAGTGAGAATACTCTTTTGAATCTTGAATGTCTCATGAATGGGCCAGTATTCTAGAAACTCACCACTAGAGGTCAATGAGCAACAGCTATTGGGATGGTATCAGCATGCCCAACGGTGCAAGTGGAATTTCTAGGCACATCTATGCGACTGTGGCCACACTGGCTTTAACTCTCAGCCCACCCACACGGAGCAGGGTGCCCAGAGGTTCCGCCTAATTCCAAACTTTTGCATGTATCCTAAAATCTCAATAAAATGAGACCTTCCAGCATCCAAACAGAGCTGATTTTCTCACTGCCAGTCCCTCTCTAATATTCCTATTTGGCTGAAAATAAGTAGCTTCAAAAACAGTTTTAAAAAAGAGATTACTTGCAGCATTGACACTTCTTTGTTGGTTAACAAGTTTCCTATGGAGTATTAAAGCTCACACTTTGTTCTTGTCCTTGTGGACACAAATTTCCTAACTGCAAAATGGGACTTATGTGTCCCACATTCAAGTCCTCCAGCGATTTCTGCAAAGGTAGGGAAGGCTGGCGTGATGGAGAGAGAACAGTAACCACGAGAAAAGCTTCTTGGAGTAAAGGGCTCCTCTCTCCAATGCAGAGGGTAAAACTATTACCATAGAAGCAAAAGAGACTTGGGCTAACTGGGACCCTTAGAGGAGTTCCCCTTTAGTCCAATAAAAGACCAACTTCAAATCTTAACACCAGACAAGGTAGTCAGAATCATATCTAGCCAGAGAATAAATGCTAAGGGACCTTGGTTAGGTGCAGATTTAAAAGGGACCTCGGTTAGGTGCAGATTTACAAGGGACCTCGGTTAGGTGCAGATTTAATTCCTGAACTAGGGTCAGGTAGGCACTGGGAAGAGCTAATGTTTACAGTGAGGAGTGAGGCAGCTTTGTAAGCATCTCCACACCTTCACATTTTGTGAACGTGGACTGGAGAGAACTGAAAACCATCTGCCATCCTCACCTGGGGATCCAGATTTTTCTGCAAAATCTCCAAATATCTATAATACGGCTTCACTTTTTAAAACGCTGAGCTGACCAAACAACACATATGTTTAGAGTTCCCAAGGTCTTAGTCCTGACAGTGATAGTATTGCTCAGTTCAAGGCCTCTTCATGCGGCCACACTGTGCTTGAACACTCAGGAGCCCAGAAAGATGGAACCTGTTGATTGGTGTTTCAATAAAAAACTAGAGAATCAAGTCAAACGTAATGAAAAAAGTAATGAAAAAGATGAAGCCTTGAGTGGGGATTTGCTCCTTTTTAGGAAAGGATGAAGGCTGGAGCAGAGACTAGTAATGTAAGTTTAGGGGGAATATGAAAAAAAGACCTATTTTTCATTAGTAGATGGTGGGGCAACTGCATGGATGGGGAAATCTGTTCTGATTTTTCTGCAACCCGGGAAGGTAAAAAGTGGGGCTCACAACCTTTAAGGTATTAAAAGATGGGGTGGAGTTTCTAAACTATGCTGAGAGAGAGTTTCTAAGGGAGCCCCTCAGATGTGGTGCCTGGAGCTTAACTGAAAAGTCCAGGAGAAACAAAGGCACACAGGAACCCCAGGAACACTGGTCCCCAAACAGTGCCACTGTACTTAGTTCCATGGCCAGAAGAGAACCCCTAGGCAGGGAATGATTATTTTGCAAAAGCAAGTGCCACGTGGTTAAAGCTGGCTGTGAGACATGAGCCTCTTTCCCCGTGCAAAGTTCCCTGTTTTACAAAGAACCACCGCATGTGTGATTGTCAAATGCTAATGCTGTCATGGGTCCCTTCCTTCTTAGCTTGGTTCTGGAGCTCTCCAATAAAACCAATTTCCTGGGAATATCTGATCTTTTTCCTTGTCTCTTTTCAAGGTATGGCTATATATATATATATATATAGATATAGAAATATATAGATATATATATATATAAAACATAGCTATTCATATTTATATACAGGCAATAATAAAGTGCAAATGTTATTGGCTATTGTAAAAATCAATCTCATTTCCTGAGGAAGTGCTAACACAGCTTATCCTATGACGACGTCAAAGGCGTAGAATGCTCTATGTCACCCACTCCCTGCTGCTGCTGTTTTGGCCTAGCCCCACAGCTCACAGGGAGGGGAGTGACCCTCTTGGTTTTCCAGGAAGCATCAGTTCAGGGGCAGCTTCCTGCTGCCTCTGTTCTTTGGTGAAAGGGGCAGCCTCTTTGGACTTGGTCCAGCCTGCCCCGGAAGAGCTATTTGGTAGTGTTTAGGGAGCCGTCTTCAGGAATCTTCTCCTCAGAGCAGCTCCTCCCCGAGAGCCTGTCCAGGTGCTCCAGCTCACTGAAGCGTTCCGCCACACACTGGGCTGTGAGACGGGCCTCCGGGTCGTGGTCCCAGCACTCAGTCAACGTCTCACACACCATCTGGATGCCCTGTAGTGGGAAAGGGCACCATGAGTTGCTGGGCTCCTTGAGGGGCAAGGTGGCCTGCTGACCCTGTTGCTATAGTGAGGGCAGGGTCCAAAAGTACCTGTGCATTTAACGTGTGCTGACGGAGTGCCCTCTGCTGGAGGCCAGCCAGTTCCACGTGGAAAGCGGGGGTTGTGCCGGTGGCAGCCATGATGGAGACCTGCCATACCTGTTGGCTCTGGTACTACCTGATCATAATAGGTGCCTACAGCACAGTGACCCTCTGCTGGGCTTCTGGGGTACACTAACACTCACAATACCTGAAAATTCCCCATGTCGTGGCCCCTAATATCATTTTCACACCTTTCTATTTAGAGAAGTTTTAGGTTCACAGCAAAATTGAGTGGCAAGTGCAGAGCTTTCACAAACCCCTTCCCCACACATCACAGCCTCTCCACCTCGACATCATGTGTCTACATGGTACATCTGTTATGACTGATGAACTGACACTGACACATCATTATCAATCAAATTCATAGTTTACATCAGGGCTCACTCTCGGTGTTGTATATTCCATGGATTTTGACAAATGTATAATGACACATATCTACCATTATAGTATCATACAGAGTAGTTTATCTGACCCTGCCCGCCAGTCCCCTGCATTCCACTTATTCATCCCTCCCTCTATTCCCCTAAACTCCTGGTAACCAGTGATCTTCTACTGTCCCTGTAGTTTTTGCCTTTTCCAGAGTGTCATATAGCTGGGTCACACATACTGTTCTGCCGGAACAGGGCTGACTACCCCAGTCAGAGTTGTATGCAGGCCTCGGCGTTGTTTTATTTGGAAAGACCACACATCTTGTGGCGTGATTCAGGAGCAGCATCTACGAGCTCCCAAGGATGACTTCCGGGATGCTCCATTCCTCTTCCACAACATGAGGTTGGACCCTATGAAACAGCTGCCTTTGTGGGTCAGGCGTGCTGACCCACAGCCATTTCTATGCCATTTCATAGGGCTCACCCCAACCCAATCAAGGCCCCATCCAAGGAGCCCATCCAGGAGATCCTGCCCAGGAAGTGGCAAGAGTTTTCTCTCGCTGGCCTAACTTTCATTTTGCATTGCAAATATTTTTGCTATCATTTCCAATCCTTTTTGGAAATAAAGCAGGCGGGAGTTAAATAAATGCTGTGATAGGTGGAAACAGAGTGTGCTACCCCCAGTTACGAGGTCAACATTGCCAATGGCGAGCCCTCACGCAGGTGGCTGGAGCGGGGTGGACAAATCATTAAACTACCTGGGAGAACTGGCAGTTTCTCCACTTGCCTTCTAATACCAACAACTTTCCAAACACACCTAGGAGCCTCTCTCTCTCCCTCCCCACCCCATGAGTTCATAATGTTAAATTAATTGCATAATTCACCTAATTGACAGCATTGACTGATGGCCCTGTTAAGAGTAGAGTGTTACTGTTGGTATACAAGTAACATTTATTTTATTCTGGCACTGTAATTACAGGCAGTAAATTAAATTAAATATTAAGCATTAACTTGAAATCAATAGGGCAACAAACCTCATTATGAGAAAAAATGTATTATGCAAATTCTTTTCAGAATTTTATCATCATGAATAATGGCTTCATTACGAGAACTATACAGCAGAGGAGGCCACAGGGTTTGAAAGAAACATAACACTCCAGCACATTCTGATTTCAGAATGTATGCAAAACATTCTTACAGTTTTAGAGTCAAAGAGGATTTGCCCAAACAGAGCAGCCCGTGACCCACCACAGCCTGGTTCACCCCCACCCCCTCCGCGGACTTTAGTAAGGTCTGTCTGCTGAAGTGGCTCTGGGCCAGGACTGGCAGAGACCAGGCTTCCTGCTCCATTTGTCTTCCCGATTGTGCCTGATTTGTTCCTGTTTCTTATCTGACTGTGCCTTGCCCTTAGGGAAACCTACGACTTAGCCTCAGCCTTCATGGTTGAGGGAATTCATCCAAAAGAGGCAATAAGAGGGTTTAGTTAGTAGGAAGAACAGTTTCCTCAGTGAGCTGGGCCACACTGTTCTCTCTCATTCTCCACGAAGGGCGCATTCCTGGGTGTGTCAGACACACAACCACTTCTGTTTCACTCACAAACTATCGTGCTCTTTTTTCTCTGACCACTGCCCTCACCCAAGTGCCCTCAAACAATCTGGATCGGCCTCTTTCTAAGTCCAGAACGACTGCCCTGCTATCATCAGCCTTAGCTACCATTTCTAGACAAGGAAATATAAGAGGCAGTTAGGATGTTCCCAGCAGACAGGTTTCTCCTTCCTTCCCCAGCATTCTCCTCTCCTTTGCTTTCCTTAATTCCAGAGTGAGGAGTGGGTCTCTTCTTTCCCACGTGTGCTCTCTGAGGCCTCCAAAGTCTGTGAGCACAGCCTGCAGACACCTGTCCACAACCCTCTGCATGTCACAGTCACTTCTCCATCCAGCTGCCTGACAAACTCTGCTTGTTCTGCATCTGCTAAGTATTTCCTTATGGAGCTGAAGATTCCGGAAGAAAACATTTGGAATCCAGAGGGGATGAAATGTAAACTCCTGACGTGAAGGCCCAGGAGTGAGTAAGTAGCAGAGGCTACGAACAAAATGTTTTAACCCAGAACCAAGGGGGCTTGGAGAAGGTGACAAACGCCCTCCAAATACCTATTTGTGAGCTCTCAGAGTATGTATCAGCTGGTTGGAATCTATAATAATTGGGTCATCCACTTCATTGAAATTTTCTTTATAAACAAAATTTAACAGGATCGTAGAACACAATGGGACCTGCCCTCAGATTTAAGCCCAATATTCCAGAACTCTCTGTCACCTAAGAGACAACTTTGGATGAATCTTACTGACCTTTCTCAACAGTCGCTCCTTACCTGGTGGCTGAGCCAGAAGCTGGGAATTTCTGGTCGTCCTCGATCTCTCAACACGTTGTCCTTCATGCTTTCGACACAGGGGTGCTCCCGAACCTTGGAACCAAATGGAGGCTCATAATCTTTTACTTCTGTGAAGAAAGCCAGCAAACACAGGGTCACCAAGAGTGGCATGTGCAGCCAAAGAGATGAGCATGGTGAGATGCCTGGCTGGGGAGCTTAATGCGCAAAGTAACAAATACATCTGTGATGAAGAGCAAATTTTAATAATAAAGGATTGAAATAAGAAGGAAGGAGTGGTTAGGGGAAGAGCTAGAGAAGCATTCCACAACTGATTGTTGAGTACTTAAAGTGTGCTCCATGTTATGCTAACAACTGGGGACAGAGTGGACAACAAGATTGACAGGGTCACGGAGCTTACATTTGAACACAGGCATTCTCTACAGGGTGATACTGCACCAAAAGGGTGACACTGGTTCTTGGGAAGTGGAAACATCTTACGTATTACAATGGTTCGGGAGCCTCCAAAGGCCCGGAATATACAGAGATTTAAAATGGGGTATTAAGTGTCATGTAGGTATTGTGGTATAAAAAGGAATGAAACTCTGGCACATGCTACAACATGGATAAACCTTGAAGACATTATGCCAAGTGAAATAAGCCAGACATAAAAGGACAAATATTGTATGAATCTGCTTATCTGCAGCACCTTGAACAGGTATATTCAGAGACAGTATAATGGTGATTATCCAGGGGCAACCTGGGAGGAAGGGGAAATGAGAAGTCATCCTTTAATGGGTAGAGAATTTCAGCTGGGCAAATGAAAATGTTACAGAAAAATGAATAACATTGTACAACACTGGGAATGTACTCAGTGCCAGTAAATTGAACACTGAAAGATGGTTAAGATGAATTTTATGTCTATTTTACTATAGAAACAAATCATGGAGAGTAGTGATTAGAAAAAAATATTGTCTACAGGCCAGGTGCTGTGGCTCATGTCTATAATCCCAGCACTTTAGGAAGCTGAAGGAGGATTGCTTGAGTCTAGGAGTTTGAGACCAACCGGGACAACATAGTGAGATCCTGTATCTATAAAAAATAAAAAACAAGCAACAACAACAAAAAACTTGTCTACAAAGACTCCTTATTATATCACTGATTTTTAAAAAGGAAAAATGCTGTTTTAGTGGGAAGACAGAGGGGACAGATGAACAATAACATCAACAAAATTTTAAAAAGATAATCTTCCTCTGATGGTGTAGTCCATAAAGAAAATGATAGAGGAGGAGGTAACCCTTCACCAAGGCTTCAGGCTTCAACTAAGGTCAATTTCTTTATAAAAACTTCCTCGAACATCCTTAGAGACAATCTTGGTTAGATGCTCTGGGCAGGGCTCTATTCTTGCATGTACCATATTTTATTTAATGTATTCACCTGCTTATTTTTTTCACCTAACTGGACTGTGGGCATTTGGATGCAAGTTGAGTCCCTGTCTCAGTCTTGTATTCTTGGTGACAATTGCAAGGGTCTCCCATACAACAGGCTGGCAACAAATGCTTTGTTGAGTGAGTGAATGAATGAATCTTAGATTCTCTCTAAAGCGGCAGTACATAAATTCTGGACGACCAAGACAACAAAACATCAATTTAAATGAGCAGACTAATACAGTTGTCAACGGAGCATAGGATAGTTAAAAAGACAGAAAACACTCCGGTTCTAAAACGTATCTGGGCTGAAAGGAGAGAATGGTCTAGAGTCAACACTTTTCTCCAAAGTAAGTAGCATTTTTAGCCTTTCGCTTCAAAATAATCTTATTTAATGAGTAAAACTTTCAATAAATTTGCACTTCTAGACTAAGAATTGAAGAAGCTTTCATGGCAAGATGACATTTTGAAAAGGGATGGCTCGTTTGTGTTCTTTGTTTGTTTTCTTTTTTCCCCTTTCCCAGAACCCTATTTGCATATTTATCTTCTTCAGCCTCACCCAAATGGGAGAGCTGCCAGGATATTTTCTCTTTTACAGTTTTAAATACAGGGGAATTTGGGATGAAGGCCTCCCACCACATTGAGACAGGCACAAACCATCCTCCTGTGTGTCATGCTTTTGCCTTCAAGTGCCCAAGCTCTTAATCCACACTGCTCTTGGGTGAGATCTGGATTGTGATTTGCATAATATTTACACTCTTATTCTTTTCTTCTATTCCCTATCTTCTACCAGACTGTAAATGCCTAAGGCCCAAGGCAGCGGCTTAATTTTCTGTCTTTCAGTTATCTGCTGAGTACCTATAACTGTGCCTTATACGTAGTAAGAATTTAATAAATATGAGTTGGGTTGAATTCAAGCAAAAGAGAAAACTGAGAATCAGATCTGGTTTCCAGGAAGTGTTTACTCTGACATACTTATTCTTTTCTATAAAATGAATAGACTGAACTGATCTACCTCCATGTTCCTCTCTAAATTTATCTTGTAATCCAGTCTAATCAAATATGATGCCCTCTTGATACCATACCTTGAGATGTGTGTACTACAATATAATAGTAAAGAACACATAAAAAGGAAATTGTTCCTTACATATGGTACAGTCAGTCCACAGACCTTCCATCTTCAATTGTTTTTGCTTCTGTAGCAATTTTAGTTGGTACCTGCCGAGGTCTCCTTTACCAAGCTAGGGCCAATAGCCTCCTTATGAGGCGTTGGCTCATAAGGGCTCACACCTTCGCCTTTTTCTGGGAGATTGTCCTTGGCTGACGGGAGATGCCTATCCTGGAGATTCCTGGACATGACTGCCTTACTGTCACAGACAGCCTATAGCCAATGACAAATTGATGTTGAATTTTAACAGACCAGCTCTCTTGGCTCTTGGTGCAATTCACACTCTCCACAGCTTCCTGTGCGATCAGGCTGAGGTTAGACCGCTCTCGAACTACAAGTTTACTTAACTCCTTCCACGCCTCCTCCTGCTTCTCTTACTTCCTTCTCCTGAGAGCTTTATCCTCAATAAATTATTGGATAAAAGTCTCTGTGTCAGACTCTACTTCTAGAAAAGCTGGCCCAATACAACTTCCAAGGAAGTGCTTTCTCCTTTCTCCCCAAGCCTTTGTCTCAGCGAATCTGCACAATCTGACTGTGGCTGCAAAGTTACCCTGGGGAAGCCTTGATGTAGCCCCTTCTCGTGAAGGTGAAATTACTAAACCAGGAAGAACATTCTGAATCTCACATTGTATTACAGTTACTCTGATGAAACGCCTTTGCCTTTCTAGGAAGCTTTCATGCTTCTTCCTTTCCAATAAGCATTTCAGAGAGTTCTTTCTCCTCCGATCATCAACAATAATCCCTATACTCATGGTCAGAAGTGACAGGGGAGGACATGACTAACATCAGGGGAGGAAAATGCTGGGATCAGAAAAAACCCAGCTGTCAATCTCATGGCTGACGGTCCTTGAGAACAAAGAAAAAGTCTTGTCCTTGAGACTATAAACCCAGAGCCCATTCAATTCAAGTCCTAATCTTCCAAATTACATAAACTACAGAATTTATTTTAATTTTTGTATAAGTGCTCTGTGGATCAAAGCAAGTTTTCATGGAGAATGAGACCAGACAGCACTAGGCATATTTTTACTTAAAGAAAAATTAATGAATGCTTTTTGAGAAAGGAAGACAAAGGCAATAATCCCTTCCCAGAGCAAAGGGATTTATAAATGGGTCACTTCCTAGTTTTCCTAAAATCTTGGGAAGTTGTAAGACTCCCTAATATTCCCAAGGGATACAAGGCCTGCTTCCCATCTTAGACTTCTGGGTAATTTCACAAGGAAGGGAGGTCACGGGTAGCCTGAAAGGTGCTGGCAAAGGGACTGGCTCTGTGTGTCCCACTGGGAGAATTTATGGCTCTTCTGGCTCCTCTTAAGTTTAAAATTGACAAGTTTGGGGAGGCGGGATCATCATTTGACCGAAACTGTCATACTCCAATATTTTAATATTAGTTTTTCAGATCAGGAGTAGGGATGGGGACCTGCAGTGTGCGCATGATTTAAGCTGACCTTTCTTTAACTTCTGAAAAATGTCCTATTTATGTAATATAGGTTTTCCAAAACAGCTAAACACGTTTGCTTTTTTTTTTTTTCTAACTATGGATCTTTGCAATTCTTCTTCACCCTTCTCTCTCATGTTGGACATCCTACTCCCACCCCCATTTTTTTCCTGATGCCCTGCAATGTGTATGGAGATGGTTTAATGTTTGGTAGTGTTTACACACGTGCCTCTCAGTTAACATCTTTGCTATTCAATTGCAATGATCAGGCAACATTGCTTGTTTTTCCTTCTATGGCCATTAAGGCAATGCCATTCCCAGGGCCTCCATTAGGACTTGTAGAATGACCATGTAACATGGAGGCTATTCCCTCCTGGATGGCATTTCTCAATTGCTCCTAAGTTGTAAGTATCCCTCAGAATGCCTCAGACATTTGCTTTGACTCAGCAGCAGAAGAAGAAGGTGGCCAGAGACACCTGGGTGAAACTCTGAACCCTGTGAGAGGAGGTTAGAAGGCAGAAAGCCCTCTGCCAGCCAGATGGATACCAATGGTCCTTCCTAGGATGAGACCTCATGCAACAAAACCCAGGCAGTCCTGGGAAACTGGGAAGAGCTGGCGATTGGCAACAAGTGGATGGCCTGAGACCTCTGACACTCCAACTTTTCCCCCAGGGTTTCAGGTAGCTCGAGACGGGGGTGTTTAATCCACTTTGGCAAAATCATTGGGTCCAAACTGTGTATCTTATTTATTTTTCATGATAGTGCTTAAAATATTTTTATTTTGGAAAATTTATGCAATTAAAACTATGAAATTACTAAATAATTATGTATAAAGAAATGCAACTCTCTCCCCAGTTGCTAACCACTGTTTCTTTCACAAAAGTGGCTTAGGTTGAATAGCGAGAATCAAAGTGATTAAATATTTTCCCTTATTGCTTATAAATGAGCACTTCTCAATCTATTTTTTTTAATACAAGCCAAGGTATTTTGCCATCCATTCATTGGGGATAAAGGCTTTGGTAAAATATAGTAGAAATGAATTACAAAAAAAATGAATCCCGCTTAAATGTTGTCGCAACATCAAACTATTAAAATTACTAA